CAGCCTGCCTAACATGATGAAACCCCATCTCTACTAAAAATACAACAAATTAGCCAGGGAGTGGTGGCATGCGCCTGTAATCCCAGCTACTTGGGAGGCTGAGGCACGAGAATCACTTTAACCTGGGAGGCAGAGGTTACAGTGAGCCAAGATTTCGCCACTGCACTCCAGCCTAGGTGACAGAGTGAGACTTCGTCACACACACAAAAAAAGAGAAGTTTAGTGGCATGCACCAGTAGTTCCAGATACTCAGGGAGCTGAGTGGGGAAAATTACTTGAGCCCAGAAAGTCGAGGCTGCAGTAAGCCATGATCGCACCCCTGCACTCCAGCCTAGGCAACAAAGTGAGACCCCTTCTCAAAAAAAAAAAATTGAATATAAAATTTCTGTCCAGCCAGCTATTTTTGCAGCACGATTTATATTCATGTGTAAGACCCAAGTCTCATCTTTCCTCATGAGGCCTGAGTAAGAGTCATTTATAAATCAACATCAGTATCACTAGGCTCTGTTCATTAAGGACTCTGTTCAGACACAACCTGCTGAGGGAGGTGCTGTTCTTATCCCCATTTTACAGATGAGGAAATTGAGGCTAAGAGCAGTCACGGAATTGACCGAGATTCTCACAGCTTGAAAGGAACAGAGCTAGGATTCTAATCAGTTTGTCTCCAAGTCTCTGCTTTTCCACTCCTCTGCCTCCTAGAGCCTTAGGAGGTGGCCAGTAGGGGGTAGGTAAGAATCTCACATCCCAAGGTGTATTTGAAGCACACAGAAACCAGTCTTAGGAATTCAAATAACGTACCTTATGGCAAATATGGCATCATAATTCTAATTTTACCCATGATGATAGTGTTACCAAGAGGACATATTTACTCAAGCTCACAATGGCAACGTAAAATCTTCCTCTCTCAGCCCCATTTCAGTATACTTAAATTAATAAATTACATGCCGCCTCTTTTTTATGTGATTATTGCTTCAAAATCAGCTGATTCATGGTTTCTCTCCTTCTCAATTCAATTATGGCTTCTTTGCTTTCTGAATTGTCTAGGAGTATAATTACCATAAAATTTTCCTTCCTATTTCAAGCCTAAATTGAAGCTGTATTATATACAATTGGTATTGCTTTTCCTCCTACATTTTACATTATTATCAGCAATTATTTCTGACATTCAGCCTGCTCTCTAACTGTACAGTATTCCATTATACTTTGGCCTTACAAGTAAAAATGACTTCTGAGCAAGTGGGCATCATGGAGAGGGCAGTGGGGAAGGAAAGAGTGATGAGGATGGACTTGCCTTGATGTGCTTACCTCATTTTTGGAACAGATATTATAAGGAAATTTATGTTGTTGTTTTTGAGGCAGGGTCTCGCTCTGTTGCCCAGGCTGGAGTGCAGTGGCGTGATCTCAGCTCACTGTAACCTCTGCCTCCTGGGTTCGAGAATTTCTCATTCTCGAACTTCAGCCTCCCAGGTAGCTAGCATTACAGGCATGCACCACCACTCCTGGCCAATTTTTGCATTTTTAGTAGAGACGGGGTTTCACCATGTTGACCAGGCTGGTCTCAAACTCCTGACCTCAGGTGATCTCAGAATCCCAAAGTGCTGGGATTACAGGCCTAAGCCACTGCAGCCAGCCGGAAATTTATATCTACAGCTGGATAAGTAGTACTTTGAAACAATGGTAGATTATGTTGGACTATATTAGCCATTCTAACCAAGGGGCAGAATCCTTCCACGGGAGCCTAAGTAACTAGTTTCACTAACTTTATAAAACTGGAATTCAATTTAGAAAAACTAGGTTATGCATACATTAGGAAACTTCTGATTTGAAACAGATCTAACAAGACAAATCTTTATACCTCTTTCTCTCCTGCATAAAGAGAAACTTGAGAACGGCAGATTTCCTCAGACTATATCAATTAGGGGAAAAAAAAGGCTTATTGCATATTAGAGACAAAATGGCTTCTACTACTGCAACAGATCTATTAAATCTTCAGTACTGAAAATGTATTCATTTTACCTTTCCCTCCACGTTTTTTCTCTCATCACTTTGTTTTGTTTTGCAGATTCAAGATGATTGGAAGTATGTCGCCATGGTGATTGATCGCATTTTTCTGTGGGTTTTCACCCTGGTGTGCATTCTAGGGACAGCCGGGCTGTTTCTGCAACCCCTGATGGCCAGGGAAGACGCATAAGCACTAAGCTGTGTGCCTGCCTGGGAGACTTCCTCACGTCCAGCCTGGAGGAGGCTGCTTCTTAGTAGGAATGTACTTTCTGTTTTCATGCTACCAGCTTTATTTATGGCATTTCAAGATTTACTTATTTTCCAGTTGTCTTGGTTTTTGTCAAAAAAAGCATCATGCAGAAAAAATGTCAAGAGTATTTATTATGGATAAATGAATGTTTAGCCTTCTTAGTATGGTAACGAGATGTCAAAATGTGATTATTCTACGTGATAAGTAATATGCTGTGCTGTGGAACATACATATAAAAATGTTTCCTTTTTTTAGTTGTTGAGACATAACTGGATAGAAAAATGCTGTTCAGAAATATGAAAAGCCATTCAGTTCAGTATCACTACAGATCTCCCAGTGATTTTTCTTAGTTAGCTCATAATCTCTTTGAAGTTTTATACTAATTCAGCAATCCCCCACTGTTACCCATTTCTTACAATGCATTTCTCATTCTTTACTGGGTCTAAAGGCTGTTCTTCCATTTCAGAGAGCTTCAGCTATTTCTCTTGCACAATTCTAAATTATACAATGAGAAGTCATGCCTAGTTATTCATTATTAATAAATTGTCTTAGTACACCATAAACTGGGTGGCTTATAAACAACAGAAATTTATTTCTCAGTTTGGGGGTTTGGGCGGTCCAAAGTCAAGGCATCAGCAAATTTGGTGTCTGGTGAGGGTCCTCTTCCCCAGAGGGTGCCTTCTGGCTATGTCCTCACGTGACCGAAGGGACTAGCTAGCTCTGTGGGGTCTATTTTATAAGGGCACTAACCTCATTCATGAGGGCAGAGCCCCCATGGCCTAATCACCTCTCCAAGGCCCCACCTTCTATCTAAGACAATCACACCCAATTAGCTTTCAACATATGAATTTGGGGAGGACACATTCAGACCACAGCATGAACCTTTAGAACAGGGGTTCTCAGCCTTAGCACTATGGACATTTTGGGCTGGATAAGTACATGCTGGGACAAAGTGGGGGTATCCTAGCAGTACCATGGCCTCTACCCACTAGATGCCAATAACATATCCTGCTTCTTCACCAGTTATGATAACCAAGAATGTCTCCATTGTTAAATGGAGGCATTTTTGCCCCTGTTTGAGAAACATTGCTTTAAACAAATTATTAAGAAAGAGTATCACATACTACACTTCTGAATCTTAACATGATCATTATCACTGACACAGATGATGATTCACAGAGACTGTTTGAATCTTGTCTCACTAGTTATGTTTTTCCTATGCAAAAATAAACTGGACAGAATTGCAGCCCACTCTGACTCATGTTTCAATAAGTCAAAAGGAAGATGTCAATAAAATTTATTTATGTAGGCCGGGTGCGGTGGCTTATGCCTGTAATCCCAGTACTTTGGGAGACAGAGACAGGCAGATCACAGGGTCAGGAGTTCGAGACTAGCCTGACCAATATGGTGAAACCCCGTCTCTACTAAAAATACAAAAAAAAAAAAAAAAAATTAACTGGGCATGGTGGCGTGCGCCTGTAATCCCAGCTACTCTGGAGTCTGAGGCAGGAGAACTGCTTGAACCAGAAGGTGGAGGTTGCAATGAGCCGAGATCGTGCCACTGCTGGGCGACAAAGTGAGACTTTGTCTCAAAAAAAAATTTATTTATGTATAAAAATCTGAAGTAACAGCAATGGGAATGTAAGAAGGGTCAGGGAGTATACAAGCTAAGGTAGCTAGCAATTTAAATTCATCACACCAGGCTTTCACTCATTAAATGGCATTAAACACCTGCCTACAATAAAATGAAAATTAGACAAGGTCTCTTCTGCCTTCCAAAGAGCGTTGGCGTGAACTTAGATAGGTTACTTACTACAAATAAATAAGGTGTTTGTTATCTCAACAGCGAACAGTTCTAAATTGAATGCAAGGTTTCTGTCCGTTTTCTACCTGGTCACGCCTAAAGTGGTGGCATTTAGAGGTGAAATTTAACCATTGTATCTGTGTTACATTATACTATACTGAGTCATGCTGTACTAGTAACAGGCTATTGATTACATCTAAAGGCCCTTGCAACTCTAAGATTCTATTATTGTAAGTGTTAGAATGAAGAAGAGAAAATTGAAATATTACAGGTCTATAACAGTGTGCTTATACCAAATTAGAATACCATCTTTAATCTTGGAAGATTGTTTTCTCACAGAATGCTTTAGACCTGAATATGTTTTTTTATTTATTTTATTTTTTGAGATGGCGTTTCACACTTGTTGCCCAGGCTGGAGTACAATGGTGCAATCTCAGCTCTCTGCAACCTCCACCTCCTGAGCTCCAGCTATTCTCCTGCCTCAGTCTCCTGAGTAGCTGGGACTACAGGCACCCGATACCACACCTGGCTAATTTTTTGCATTTTTAGTAGAAATGGGGTTTCACCATGTTGGCCAGGCCGGTCTCGAACGCCTAACCTCGGGTGATCCACCTGCCTCTGCTTTCCAAAGTGCTGGGATTAGAGGTGTGAGCCATTGTGCCCAGCCCTAAATATGTTCTTCTAAATGGGTTCATGTAATCGTAGTGCACTGACTGTTCTAAGATCATGGATAAAGAGATACTACCACAGTTTACATGGAAGATGGTTCTATTAATCAAGGGAAATGTGGACAAGAGGATTTACATTAATGTTAAGGATATGCTACTGGGTGTCCACAGGAGTTGTCTAATGTATGACTTTACAGTGGAAGGTAAGCTACAAAAATAGTTAACACAATAATTATTCAGTTTAAGCATCTAAATAATAAAGTAAGCCTTAAGGGAGTTCCCAGTTCCTGTTTTTCATTTATTTTAAAAATGTTGGTTATGGAAAAGCAGCATCACATTAAGTAATTATTATATCAAGTAGTCAGCTTTTTAAATATAGCAGTATAATATTAAAGATTAGCTGTTACTCAGTGAGTACAGGGAAGTGTATGTACCTTTACCACATGCAGAAATGTTTTAAAATCAGTCTTCAAATACAGCTGGAATTTTCCAGCACAGTCAAAGGATGAGCTTTACTGTTGATTACAAATTAGTATTCTTCGCCAGGATACAAATACTAGATTTTTCACTAGCACAGTTTGGATAATATTTTGCTGCTATTTTTAGAAGATCAAATGTTATCTCATCAGTTATTCATTCATACAGGCAACTGTTCTAATGGATCATCTATTAACATATATTGAGGTTGGCAACTATTAATCTGTTATAGCTTGCACCAAATTTAACACATAACTTACATTTTCATAATTTTGTAGATGCCATAAGATATATGTGTGATAACTAAATGTATGCTTCAGTCCCTTGGGAGGCTTCACTTATTTGCATTTCCAATATGAACTGGTATTATTATATTTGCCCATTTATAAATTACAGGAGCAAAAAGCCCAAGAGATCCAACAATTGAAACGAAAAGAAAAGTCCACAGAAACATCCGATCAAGAACCTGGGCTATGAATTTCCAATCTTCAACAACCTGTTATGAAAAAAATAAAAACACATTAAACAATTGTAAATTGTGTACATATTTTAAGATACAACAAACACACTGATTCAGACGCCAAACAGTCTCTGCCCCCCGTTACTGCCTCTAACTGGGAAGTGACCCTACACTCAGTTCAGGGACAGACACTAGCCTGATGGTCTATTACAGATATAAGCTTTAAAAGAGACTACAAAATATGTTCACATCAACTTGTAATCTATTACAAGTGGTCTAGTTTGATAGATTTTAAAATAAAAATTGACTACTTGGATATTTTACAATAAACTAAAAAAAATTATTCTTACTATATTCTTGCTACTTATTCTTGCCCAATAGTGTTTACTTATTTTAATACTTTGAGAGACTCTACCCTGGGGTTAATTTCATGCCAAATTAAAAGTTCATTCAGAGGCCAGGTGCAGTGGCTCACGCCTGTAATCACAGCACTTTGGGAGGCAGAGGCGGGTGGATCACTTGAGGTCAGGAGTTCAAAACCAGCCTAACATGGCGAAACCCCGTCCCTACTTAAAATACAAAAAATTAGCCGGGTATGGTGGCGGGTGCCTGTGATCCCAGCCACTCGGGAGGCTGAGGCAGAAGAATCACTTGAACCTGGGAAGTGGAGGTTGTGGTGAGCCAAGATCATGCCACTGCACTCCAGCCTGGGCAACAAGAGCAAAACT